CAATGGCAGAAAACATTCCACTTGTGTTGATAAACCTCCATGAAAGAAGGTTGAACTGAACATGCCAAAAACAATGAAGGCATGAAGATGAAGGGTAGAAATGGTGTGATGAACTACCATGGACTGAAACTGCCATTGAAGGGATGGAGTGCTGGGAAGAGGCAAAGATGAAGCAGCCGTGGAAACCATGATTAGGCCAGCCAGTAAAGGGCAATCAGAGAGACTTTACACAGAGTGGAGAGGATGATAGAAATCACCCTGGAAAGGAGAGTCAGATAGGAGGATATACATAAAGGAATTTGTCTGTCCAATCCTGACTGAATGTATTAACATCCAAAGCAAGTGGATGAGGCAACAGAGGCCAAAACTGAGGATACTGAGGGCACTGGCAAATGCATCCAGGTGCTGAATATCCACCCAAGTGCATTAACACTGGATAACCTGAGAATCTAGAGACCACTCCGTTAAATAAATTTTGTTTGGGCAGGATAGACGATTCATGACAAGGTTGAAAATACTTGAAACATGACACACAATTAGATGAATATTCGGCATGCTGGCCCCAAAAAAGGAGATCCAACATACAACAACAAGGGAAATGAGAATGGGTGCCTCGCTGGTGATTGATATACAACAACACTGTAGAACTGACTGTATGGATCAAAATTAGACAATTGCCAGCAAGAGGAAGAAAATGATCCAAAGCCTGATGAACAGCAAGAATCTCCAGGACATTGGTATGGTAAGACCATTTGGTCACAGACCATTGACCAGAAGCAATTTGCTGCTTGACACCACCCCATCCCAGCCATAAAGAGAAGTGAAGCATCCATGAAAATATGTAAATCTGGATGAGAGGGAAGAAGCAGAATCCCTGCCATAGTATGAGCCTTGTCCAACCACCAATGCAGATCATCTACAAGGGAAGGAGGAAGGGTAAGAGGAATATCCAAGGGAGCCCTTGCAAGATTCCATTGGTCATAAGAGTCCAAATGAGCATGACCAATGCGGATAAGTGCCACCATAGAGGAACACATACCCTAAAAAAGACAGAACCTCACAAGCAGTAATAAAGGGAGTAGTAAGGATGTTGATGACTGCCAGCTCCATCAAATGATGTGGAAAAGGAGAAGGTTTCACCCAACCAAGATGAGTGTTGAACAAAACACTCAAATGGAAAGATATTGGGTAGGAACAAGGAAGGATTTCTCCAAATTGACCAACCAACTGACCTGAGTCACCTCCAAAAGAAGCAGACAACTGGGGTGGGTAAACTACAGTTTGGAATGAACCAACAGAAACCAGTAGTCCATGCAATGCTGGTAGTGCAACCCTCGACCATACATAAGTCCAGTAAAATATTTGACCATCCAACAAAAGAGATATGGTGCTGTAGCAAGCACAAAATTGATAAACTACCACATGATGAACAAAACCGAAGATAGCATCTTGACTGCCTCAACATGGGAACCTAGAGATAAGCATTCGAAACATTGACTTTGATCATCCGTAAACATGGAGAAAAACCCACCTGTAAGTGAGAAAATACTACAGGGTAAAACAATGTAGCACCAAGAGGCAATTGAGGCATGATAGATTGATCACAAGCCACCAGTCTCCAGTTTTCTTGAGGACAACATACAGCCTGGAATAAAACCCCAAAGAAGGGTGAACCACAAGTTTGAAAGAGAAGATTGTATACTGTCTCGGCCAGACACTGAGACATGATAGAGGAAATGGATATCTAAGACAATGGAGAAGGGGAGAGGAAATGGATGAGAAGTCCCTAGGATAAAACCTGAAGGACCCATAGATCCCTGGCAAAGTATCACCATAGATGAACAAACTGGAATAAACGTGACCCAACCGGTTCAGAGCCCACAGAGTAGTCACCGATAATGTTGGAGGCACAACACTTGGCATCAAATAAAATGACAAAAAGAAGATCCCCTAGTGGAAAGAACAGGTAAGGGTGGGAAGGATTAAGACTGGGAACAGAAATAGGGGATGGTCGAAGTTTCATGCGAGACAAACAATCAAACAACAAAAAAAGAGTCAACTGCTGTCTCACAGATTGCACTCGGGATTTCAAAGTCACTGGACAATCTCCAAACACCAACCGAACCGGAGCCCACAGGGTAGTCACCAATAAAGTTGGCACCACAACACTTGGCATCGAATAAAATGAAGAGAAGAAGATCCCCTAGTGGAAGGAACAAGTAAGGGTTGGGAAGGATTAGGATGGGGAACAGAAATAGGAGAATGGTCGAGGCTTCATATGAGACAAACGTTCAACCAACAAGGAAAGAGTTCATTGCTGTCTCATAGATTCCACTTGGGGTTCCAAAGTCACTGGAAGATCTCCAAACACCGACTGATGGAGAAAAGGGGCCAAGTCCCTAAAATAAGGAGATAGTAAATGAATATGGGATAAAACCATGTCTCTCCCCAACATATCCCAAGAACAAAGGAACCAGTGTGTAAAGAAAGAGCCAAAATCAACAAATGTACCAACAAGAATAGAGTTGGGGCAAATGTATCCCCTGAAAAACACTCAGGATCTCAATGGATTGTCTCGGAGAGAAGGAGTGTGGTAGACAATACTGAAAGATAGACGTGAGGGCAAGACAAAGGTGAGAAAATTGAGCATGGGACTAAGAAAAAGGACAATCAGGGTCCACCCAAATGGCTAAAATGGATTTCAGTTGCTGAGAATCAAGGAATGGGAAATCGCTTTGATGGTAGGTTAAACTAAACTGATCCAAAGCCCGCAGAGGGCAAAGCATGCCCGTACTATCATGTAAATGAGATACAAAATGTTCAGCATGAACCCCAATATCAGGAGATGGTGAAAACACAAAATACTGAGAGGAAGCAATATCATGTAACAAAGAAGGTAGAGGATTAGAGGAAATCAGGGAAGGGGATAAAACAGAACATGCCTGGGAAATCATGTCCAAAAAAGCTGTATTAGGCCTAATGGAACACACAGTAGGAACTCGGGACAACACAGTAAATTCAGGTGGAAGAAAAAGGCTGTCAAATGCTTTGTTTTCCCAAACAGATTTGGCTTGTTCAGGAGGAAGTTGGACAACATTGGAAGAAGAATGTTGGCTAAAATAATGATCAATCTCTTGAGGAATAATTGCCGATAACTCCAAGGTCGAATTCCCCCACCTGAAACCGGAGTAAATGTGCTGGTAGACGGTACAACCTCAAATGTGGTAACTTGCACATCAGAATTCACAATGCAAATGAAAACCAAACACAAGTGTATTGATAAAGAAAGAAAAGAATGGAAAACTGGGTAGAAATAACTGGGTAGAAAATATAATAATTCCATGACAAAATGAGGTACAAATGATAATTATTTAAAATTTAAAGTAAGTAGGAAACAGGAAAATAAATGATAAGAAACTTTAAAATTCAAAGAGAGCACTAAATAAAACATCTGAACACATGCACTGCCAAACAAGGAGTGATAGTTAGGTAGAACAGAATAGAGGGAGTCATGTGTGTTTAGGGCACGTCTATTTTTGAAGGTTTGTCGCATGACAAACTTCATGTGTGAATCAGTTAAACCATGTGAGTCAAGAGGTATGTGGAAGTGAAAGGCTTCTGGCATGTGAAAAAAAATTTTGCAAATAGAAGGCAGCATTAAATGAGATTCACCTACATAGTACACCTACCTGTATACATTCCTATCATTTTCAATTTCAGTTCATGAGGCCTGTAAGAAATATTAATAAACATCTTTTCCTTCCAATTTAACAACTCAGCCCACACATACACATAAATTTGACTAATTTCTGAACTATCACATCTTTCATAAGTATTTAAATCATTTTTGACAAGCAAAACAACTCCTCCCCTATTTTATTTACACAATCTTTATAAAACAACTTCTAAAATCATGTCACATGAAATGTGAAGAATGAATCACATCTCAAACCTCTTGCTGTCTTTGGATTACAAAAACTCAAAATATAAAAGCAAACTTCTTTTGAGCTACACACACTACAGTATTTGATAACTGCAATTTTCTAATGGAACCATCCAAGAATTTGTAGAAAATGACAGACTGTATTCTTTGGCTTCATGAATCATAAATGCAAAATGGCATTGACTGGAATGTCCATATACAACAATGTTCATAATGCAGCACCTAAAGCACTCTTATATCACAGACAAGTGGCATGAGGTTGATAAAAACAAGTCAATATCCTATAAGTTTATGATTAAGAAGACATTTACAGATGCAATTAAAAGAAATTTTATCTTCTCCATGAAAGTAATAAATATATAGGCACAAGAAAAGGAGAAAAGTAGTCTAACAATAAGAAAAAAAGCATTAAACAATCAGGGAAAGAGACATCTAGAAAAAAGCCTAGCTCTCTTCTAACACAATTTGCATTACCAGAATTAAAAAGAAGCATTCCATCAGCAACAACTAAAGAATTTCACATATTTCTCTGGTGGTTTGGTTTGTGGATTCTAAGGTTTCAAACTTGCTGTAATATGAAAACTCCAACTTCAGACAATCAATCAGAAGCTGACCAATATTGAACTGTGTTTACTAATTAATATGATGCCCAGTTAATATTAAATTGTAGATTTACAAAGCATAGGAATGAATGTGCAGTTTATATATAGGAAACAAAGAGGCATATTATTCTACATGAATAAAATATATATGTGGCTCTAACTTGGTTGTAAGCAACAACAACACTAACTTCATTTGTTTGATTCACGATTATGTGATTACTTAATTTAAAAGAATCATACTGTGTACTTAAATAAGTGCATACTGATAAACAAGTAAACATTTCCTGTACTCTTATGAAGTGGTATTACTTTAACTACAGATGTTGCATATAAACACAACATACCAGTAATAACAAAAAAATTTCATTAAAATAAGTACTTTAGTTTGATTTGTTTATTACACATGCTGCAATACAAAATTATATCTAGTGCAATCATTATAAAGCAATACTTACTCGAAACCAGTGAGTAGCCCATGTTGGACCAAAGGACTCTCCTATTTTTACTTCAACAAATTCACCTTGTTCCAGTACTTGACTAAAGGTCATTTTTTCTTTTGCTGGTAAGTTACAGCAGTATAATCCAGAAAGTTTTATACTCTCATTATATAATTTTCCATACAAATTTGCATCCGTAAAATATAGAGGTGAAATGAATTTTTCCACACGTTCAAGAGTGGTTCTTTTGTTCTTAAACATACTTGCCATTTTAAAACTGAATTTTGCAACACCAAATTTAAACAGGGGCTGTTTTACTCATAAGTGTCCAACAAGTTAAACTTAATTTCTAATCTTTCTGGTTTGTTTCCTTCTTAAGTTCTTATCACTGTTGTGTTTTCCAATAAACTTGCAAACTTATACCAGAAGATAGCAGTACTCTTCACAACAATGTCCAATATGATGAAAAGTTCCTTTCAGAATATCTGAATAATGCTCAACCTTTAATTTAATCCAGAATAAAAACAACCTGCAAATAAAGATTAAGGAATTAATTCACTATATCCACAACACAGAAATGAAACAATAAAAGTAACTGCTCGATTCTTACATGTAAATATAATAAATAAATAAAGGTTAAAGCAATCCACAAAGTTGAGAACTTATGTCAGAATTTCATATGGTAGAACATAACAACATGTAGTTACAGCAAACTACTAGCTAAACTCAAATACTGAATAAAGTAGTATTTAACCTTTAATTGGTTTATAATTTCACTAGGAATCACATCTAGTTTATAATAAAACATATTAATATATATATACACACACACACACATATATAGATAAAACATTTTAATAACTATTCTTAATTAAACTAACATTTAAAAAACAGTAGAAATATAACTCTTACAAAACACATAAAACTAGCTGTTTGGCATATAGCATATAAATTATGTATTTTTCATTTATTTTCTATTGTAATATGTACAATTATTGCACCTCATTAAACAAACACATCATATACATGCTCATGAGAAGAAAAAAAAAATGTCTGTGTTATAGCAGACCATTCATTTATAGTATTTTACTCTAAGATCAGAAAATAACAGAAGAACATTTTTCATTCTTTCAAATTATATTCTATTGAAATGGAGAAATGCCTCATACTCATAGGAAAACCTGTGCACTTTCACTGGCATTAGACATCATTACAGCTAAACAAGTTGCAAAACTTCTCAACAAGCTCTTTGTACATGGAGGTTTACTATTCTGCAAAGCATTCAATTCATGGCACAATTTGTACAATCTATAAAACTGTGGCACAAAATTTCATATAATTTATTACATCCATTTGACAATTTCAACACATAATTATACTAGTACATGTGAATAATTCTGCTCTGCATTTCAATCTGTTACTAATCTATCTAAACTATCATTAATAAAAGTGTATGCATGTAATGTCCACTTATAACTGGTGAACCATTGGACCAATTTTCAGTAAAACTGGTACATAACCATAGGGTCTTTTAGGGAGGGACAAAGGGGTTGACATTTGGGTCTAACCCCAATAAGTCACTCCTTGATGCCCTTGTGTCTTCCTCATGCATTGAATGGGTACATTAGCTAGAATAACTATGTATGGGAACCTTAACATTGCTTAGCCTCACAGACATTAAGGGAAAATTTGTTATTTCCACACCATACCTATAAGACACCTACAAATGCAAAAACCATAGTTTATTGTTTTGCAAATCTCCTATTCCCCTCTTAAACTCTTGTAAAGTGCCATTCTCCACTGCTGTTAATCAGCCTGTTAAAAAAAAACATAATAATAATATTTTAACTGTCAATATCATTATGAGAAATACTGGAATTGATCTGAAACTTAATCTCTTTGTGGTAAGTAGAAAGACTGAAAATAAAAACAGATACAGCACCATGACCAGAAAAAGGTTCACCAGAGTTTTAGAGGAGATCCCAGATCACATTATGTCCTGTAAGTAATTCACCTTTGGTAAATCAACAGATAGTGAACAAGTGCCTATTTTTAAAGGGTGGTGATAAGAATTTCTCTGAAAATTATAGACCAGTTATTCTTACTTCTATAGTGAAAAATATTTTAGAGAATCTGATAAAAAAAGCTTTACATAATTAATTTAGTGAATTTGATGTCATAAATGAAAGCCGACATGGTTTCATCAAATGGAAATCTTGCCTTAGCAATCTGTTATCATTCTTTAAGAATATTACATGTTTTCTACAGAAATGAATGGGTGTGAAATTGATGTACATTTATTTTCAAAGTTTTTGATAAGGCATCACATGAAAGATTGATTAAGAATCTGACAAAAATAAGAGTTAGGGAAAGACTAGTTAATTGGAATTTTGGGTAGTTGGATGGAAGAAAACACAAAGTTGTTATTAATGGAGTCCTATCAAATAGGACACTTGTTACTAGTGGAGTACCTCTGGTGTCAGTGCATGGATCTTTGCTTTACTTACATTAATGATATTGATAGAGACATAATAAGTAAAATTTGCTGATAACATTAAATTTTAGGCTTGCATATTTCTAGCTATACTGAGGATGTTGAGGTATTACAGAATGACTTGAACCAGTTCTTAAGCTGGACAAATATTTATCCTTTAATTACAATTAATGTATGGTCTGGTTTTCAGTGTATGGTTGGCCTGTACTAATTCCAAATAAACATCCCCAAACCTACTTCCAATACAGGAGTGCATCCACTGGGTCTCATACTAGTGGGCTTAGGGCTTACACCAACCAAAATTGACCTTACCAGTGGCTTAGGAGTGGGGAGGAAAGGGTTCTCCCATTGCTTCACTAGAAGAAATGTGTGTGGGGGGGGGGGGGTATAGATGTAGGGAAAGAATACCAGAGAGATGTATGGACCAAACAGGAATATTCTACCATCTACATAGGGTCCCAAACTTATAGACCATGCAATGGGTTACTACAAACAAGGGCAGCAGGTGCTTGCCAGTTGTGAAGACAGGATCACACCTTGCACTTTTTTTTCCCTGAAGTACAACATCGAAGGAAAAATACATATATTGCCAAAACAGTCTTGCAAAAAAAC